CTCTATATTTGGTCTCTCCCAGAACCCTTATAAGGAAAGAACTGAGGTAAGCCAATCTAAGTAAACAATTAAAACATTTAAACTGTCTTCCTAAACGTAATGAAGACCTTCATTACGCTCAGATAAATAGGTCATTTCTACTCTTTCAGTTTGCAGTAGTAAAATGTTTTAGTTTGGTATGTAATAATGGGTAAAAGATCATCTGGAAATGCTCTAAAAGGGGAAAGACAACAGTTGTCTAGCTTTGTGCTGGTGATGTCTTTCCCCAATCAATGGTATTTCTCATTAATTAATCAGCTGTGTCAGTTATGAGGCAAATACTGCACACATTGAATGCAACTAAATGCATTTTTACCTTCCACACGTGCCATTGTTCAAAACAAATCCTCTTTAAAATCTGCACACTCAGCACTGCAAAAGCAGGAGCAGATGAGCTCTGCACATCACCTTGAACACATTGTGACACGTGATGGTGGTAGTTGCTTTTTTTTCATCAACAGGAAAATGGACGTCAATCAAAGCCGATGGAGGCGTGCTGCACTGATCAGTGATTCTTCCAATTTGCGGAAGTTGAGTCGAGTACGCTCTTGTGTCGGTCTAGTGATCCCAGCGAGGGATGTCCAAGTTTATGTGACTACGCGTGAAAAAGTCTAAGGTGACCTGAATAATTATGAAAACATTGTGAGAGGCGTTTCCCTCCAAGGCAGAACTAATCCCCTCCTATCCCCTACGTCGCAAGAGCCGACCACGAGCAACATCCCGTGGTCGGCCCTCCGCTCCCCTCGCAGCCCCTCTCACTTCTGAGAAAAGCCAGCATTGAATCATTTACTGGGCCCACATTAAAGTTTGGAATCTGCATGCATTATATATTCACCCCTGCTCGGACAAATCCTCTTAACTGTGGGAGAAATTGTCAGGACGGGTCCTGTGGAAAAGTAAGAGCCTTGTCTGGTTGTATTGCCTGTAGCAAGGGAGCATCTCAATCTGTCACTCAAATCCACACACACACACACACACTGAATAGCTTATAAATAATATATCCTTATACTTTCTTTATTAATATTAAACATTGCATAATGAAGCAGTGACTATAAGCAAATCCCACAGCAATATTCATATTACCACAAGCTCTCTTGGAGTGGACCTTTCATTGTTTATGTCAGCGCTGTCACATTGCGGTTAATCACATCAAAATGGCTTTGAAAGCTTTAATTTTCACCTCTGCAACACTAAAATCACCCATTTTTTTTCCTGTCAAAACTTGCAGTTTGAGCAGCTTGCCGTCCTCTGAAAAAGAGTTTCACCCCTACATGCTTCGGTTGCTCACCTAAATGTTTCAAGAATATTCTAAAACCAGAGATAAAGTGCTTAAGCGCGACATGCGGTTTTTAAGCCCTCACCCTCCCTTTTGAACAGTTACAAATTAACCGCTTAAGTAATTTATTGTCTCTATTGTGATGCAGACAGGGGTGAGTGCAATTGGACTTAGTTGCTAAGAAAAAAAAAGTGGTTAAATTTTACCTGACTGACCACACGAAGTAGGCTAAGAGATCCCAGAAATCCACCTGATAGTTCCCCAAAAACCGCCTGATGATCCTCAAGATTTTTTGGGCTGACAAGACAAAAGAAACGCTTGAAAGGTGTGCGGTCCCATTGGGTCTATTGTAAGACTAACACAGCATGTCAGAGACTTCCTTCATTAATAAAAATCAAACATGGAGGTGGATGTCTGATGGTCTGGACGATGAATCCTGAAGGTCAATAGAATGTGACCTTAAGATCATTTTGGTTTTATGCAGCAGGATGACTGTGTGAACAGTACAAAAAGACATAATCTTATCAAGTATTTCTGGTTTAGTTTCTAGTGTAAATATCTCAGCACACCTGAAATAAGACAAAACTAACTTACAGGTAACTTTTTTATTGTAGCAAGATATCGGATATTGTTGTAAGTCAAGTTAAAAGTGAAATCTGTCAATGGTACAAGACATTTTAACTAACGATTTGGTGAAAATGTCTTTGGTAGATTATTCCATTTGTAACAATATTAAGGAATTGTTGACTTAAAATAAGCTCTTGATTCTTGCTGATTGGTTGCCTGTAAATTAGCTTTTGTATTAAGACATTTACACCAGAAACTAGACCAACAATAGTTGGTAAGGTTTTGGGTTTTTTGTATAGCGAAGAAAACCAACAAGTGCCACATCTGAATAGCTCAAACAAACTAACAAAAAATAATCAAAATGAAGATTTTGTAGTGGCCCAGTCAAAGTCTGGACTTTGTCTTACCTTAAATATCTCAAACTGATCCAAGGAAACCTTTGAATGTGATTGATTAAAAAATCTATTATTATTATTACCTTGGAGAGTGATCATTTTCAACAAAGATGGCACAACTAATTACTTTTTCATGTTTCATTGGCTTGCTTCTGTTAAGAAATTAAAGCAATCTTTTGAAAACCACCTTTTTGTATTTACAGAGGTTACCTTTGTCTGATATTTAAAAAAAAAAAAAAACTAAATCGCTTTTCTCCAGCAGTGCATACAATTTGTCTATTTTTAGACGCCCTCCACATCCCCAATACGAATGTCGTTTATTTTATTTTGGAGCGACATAAAAAATGGAAAGGATAGTGACCCAGAATCAAAACCGGATATGACACACACGTCCCCGAACTCGTTTCATCCACTCCAACATGAATAATTAGTGCCTGAAATCGTCTTGTGTGCCGGAAAGCTGAACGGAAGTCCTCGCCTCTTCTTCGTCGTCTTCTTCTTCCCCTTCTTCTTCTTCGTCGGACAACAACTTCCATTTGGCTGTTGGCCCCGCGGCGCGTTGAGGTTAACTCGTACTGAACGGTGACACTTGGCACGGCGGACGCGCGTCTCCTCGGAGGCAACACTTTGGACTTTAAAACCTTTCCTGTGTCCTGTTCCGTGGCCCTCTGCGACCCAACTTAAACTGCCTTTGCCCCGCGCCTGCAAGCTACAAGCTATAATGGCAGCATTGATGTATTATTGAGAAACCCAGGGGCGAGAGGACGTGGTAAGGGAGAGCGTGTGAACTCCGTGTGATGTCTTCCTTAGTGTTTACGGCTGATGTTACTTCCGCTGCCCTCTCTTTATGACGCCCCACGTAGTGTCGCGTCTGAATTTTGGGAGGGGGGCCACGCGCTCGCGGGCCTGTGGAACCCCGACTGTCGTGTTTCCGCACGTGGCATCTGCCGAGGTTACGTCTCCTTGAGCCAGAGCCGAGATGACATTTCATTTGTATAAATAATTACTGTCCTGAAAGTCCCACAGGCCAGCCCCGAAGCAATCAAACTTCTAATGCTCTTAAAATTGCCCGCCATGTTTTATTAATGGCCGCGACGTAAAAAAAAAAAAAAAACACAGCGAATCACCATGGCTGCACTCTTCTCTCCGCCGATTCAGGGAAAAATGTCTTGTCAACTTTAAACGGCCATAAGAAGCTTTGAAATTTTTTTTTTTTTTTTTTTTTTACAGCAATTGTATTTAAACCAAATTACAGCTTAAGCACATGTTTGAATTGCATTGTAAGGTTCAGAGAAAAAATATAGGCTCTGAAAGGCTTACCTGTGCTTATATACAACGAAGCGTTCAGTGACTGAATGATTGTCCATTAGGCATTAAGCAGCTCTAAGTGGACCTGATCCGCTCTGGATTCTACTCAGCAGCAAAAAAAAAAAAAAAAAATCCAAACCCCTTCAATTTTTCCACATCTTGTCATGCAGCGACAATATTTCAGGTGATAGACCAACACAATGTAGCTGAAATTATTATGTGACAGGGGTTCCTACCTTTATTACAAAAATTTGAAAAGTGTGGTGTGCATTTGTTTTTAGCTCCTCTTTCCCCCCACGGATCAACATTTTGTAGAATCACCTTGACTTCAGTACAGATGCAATTTTTATTTATTTATTTTTTTGGTGAAATTTACTATTTCTGGCAACGTTCAGCATAAAATGTTTGCCTGGTTTTTTTGTTTTTTTGTTTTTAATCTTAAGAATGCAGCCTGTTTTAAAGTCTGATCAACAGTCACAGCATGATGGTGCTACCGCCATGTCACACCAAAGGTATTTTTAAGGTAATGTGCAGTGTTAGTTTGCTTGACATCCATAGTGTTTTGCATGTGCATAGGCCACAAAAGGAAGGTTCTTCTGTCATCTGGTCTTAGCAACTTGCAGAACTTAAAGGGGCAGGTCAGTTGGATTCAGGTATCTCGAACCGGGGAACAAAGACTGGAGTTTGAATCTTTTTGTGGGGTTGAAATGCAATGGGTTTACAGTTGTGTTGTACTAATTTTGATGAATACAACACAACTGTATTAGTCAATACAGTTGAATAATTCCCATCTGCTGCTCCTTGTTTGTTCCCTCTCTAATAAACCTCTGGGTTTCATTTACACACGATGAGTCTGTGTAACAGCTAAGTTTTGTGTGGCAATATTAAAGTAAAATGACCTGAAAATATATAGATATATATTTAGATATATATTTTCAGGTCATTTTACACACACACACACACACAAATAAAATATATATATATATATATATATATATATATATATATATATATATATATATCTGTGTGTGAAACAATAAAAAAAGGCAAAAGGATGCCTCTTCTTTCCGTGCTTCTTCTCGATTATCATGAAATGCCAAATAAAATTTGAGCTAACAAGATGTGGAAAAGATTAAGGAGCCTGAATGCTAAACTGAGAAAGCTGTTTGTTGTTTTGTTTTTGTTTTTTTTAAAGGTGCCACCTCCTGATTAGGTCTGCTCTGCCTCCCGACTGTGCCAACAGAGGGTACTGTTGCCTTAAAACTACCCTGACAACCGACCCGCAGCATGCCGCGCGCGCAATCCCCCCCCCCCCCCCCCTCTCTCTCTTACACGATGCGTGGAAATATATGCTTTACATTTACACTGATTACTCACTCGAGTCTTAAATAGTATTAATCACACTTAAAGAACTGCGCGCGATAAAAGTATCATAAGACCAATTAGATGTTTGACCTGATAGGCTGAGAGATCAAGAGAGCGCGAGTTGTAATCGTTGTCTTTATGTGGCATTTCTGGTGACATTTCATGAGGAGAAATAAATTGTAGCTAACGGGGGCTGGGGGGAAGGCTTGCACGCGCCCCCTTTGCTTCATATAAACTGGTGATAAATACAAAGGTGAGACGGTTTGTCTCTTTGCTGGTAACGTGACGCTGCTCCAGAAAGCCCCAGACAGGCACGAGAGCCGTGTGTGAAGTGAGTAACCGCTGGTGATTACTTCTCGCAGCTGATGGAGGAGCCCCGGGGAGACGCCGCCGCCGGGTTGTCCGCGCGTTTTCGTCCAGCGAACTGCCTGGCGCGCGAGGCGGCACACGAGCGCACTTGAACTTGGTCCCGAGCACGCGATACCCCGTGCACCGGGTTGCACGCGCATATAGAGCGCCTTTCGTCGACGCGAAGTAGCCTCCAAACACCATAGGAAACGGGGAAACATTGGACCTCAGCTTGTTGGAAGAAAAGGAGGAGGTGTCACGTCTGTCCGCCTGGTCTCTCTCTCTCTCTCTCTCTCTCTCTCTCTCTCTCTCTCTGTCTCTCTCTCTCTCTCTGTTTCTCTCTCTCTCGTCTGTGTGTGTGTGTGTGTGTGTGTGTGTGTATGTGTCTCTCAATCAGCGAGGCTAGTGCCGCCGGAGCCAAGAGTTGCCGTTCCGCGCACCAGTGCCAAAACGCACAGGAGGAGTCGGTGCCAAAGGGTCATTTAGCGCACCACTGCTGAGATGGAAGGACTGTAGGGAGCACACAGAGTAAACAGCTGCTATTTGGCCCCCACAAATACGGCGATCAGAGGCTTTTAAGAGGAAAAATCTTTAAAGAATAATAATAATAAAATATAGCCTACATATATCTAAAAAAAAAAACGGGCGATTTTCTATCAGCACGGTCGTTGCAGAGGTTGGAAAGTCCAGGAATTTTTTTTCCAATTATTATTCCTTTTCTTTTTTTTCTTTTCAATCTGCAAACAAACGCCACACTTCTCCCAACGTGCTTTCAGCGATCCATCGCAACAACAACAACAAAAAAAGAGGGAAAGAAAGAAAAGAAAACAAAAGGAAGCGCGGCTTTGGCTTCCTCCCCCTCTACCCGATCCAGGTGTTGCGTCCACGGCGGGACTCCGGCGCGGATCTTCCGACAGTCAGCGCTGCCGCTCCGGCTCCTTAACGCGCATCAAAAGTTTACACCTTCAGAGACTGTCGACGGGCCGGCGATAAGAGCGCGCGATCGGAGGGAGCGCGGAAGAGAGAGAGAGGATAGGGAGAGAGAGAGAAAGAGAGAGCTGCTCACCGACACCACGGTTCAAGCCGACTCCAAGTGCCGTTCACCGGGCGATGCCAGAGTAAATGCCGGGGCAATGTCCCGCCGCAAGCAGGTGAACCCGCAGCACTTATCGTTGACGCACAGGGAGACGGTCCAAGGTGAGTTCATCTTCTTTCTAACGTCGACCTACTAAATAATAATTACAGCATTATTTATTTATCGCTTACTTTTTTTTAATCACTCTTGGTTTAGACTTGTGTGTATTTACTTGCAAGAATGTTACCGCAAATATGTGTTGTTGTGAATATAATTCGCATAGGCTAGGTGTTTTATTTATCTAAAGTTGGGATGTTACGCAGCATGTGTGAAATAAATGATAAACACGGTATGCTTCCGCTTTTTTTTCTTGTTTTTTTGTTTTTTGTTTTACTTGCAACAACAATAACAACAAAAGTGAAATAAGCGTCATATTCCAAAAGTCATTGTACCTTTTCATACCTCCTCGAGTCCATACAGTGAGGGCGTCTGTTTTGTGTTGGAAAGCATGCGCGCACATGTGTCCGGCGTTTCGTCACAACGCGCATTTTCCCACAGCACTTTTCCCATATTTTCCCCATTTTTGTTATGCGCGCTCCTCGCATTCTTTTCGTCGCAAAACGCGTGTAAATTTGCGCACAGTTTCCATTTCTTTAAAGGCCCTATTACTATTATTATTGCCACAGCTATACCTCGCTGCAAGGTGAGTAATGTGAAATATGTTTCCTTTGCTAAATAAACTCCCTTCGTGCAGAACAAAACAGTAAAAAAAAGAAGAATTGACACATTTGTTGTGATAATAACAACAATGTGGATTGTTATTTATTTTTTGGTCTCGATTTAATGCTTTCCAAAAGATCAGATAAGTTTTATAACGTGAGCTAGGAGGGGGCCCTGCCATTAAAAAAAAAAAAAAGTAGCGAAATCCAATTATATCAATCTAACCACGCCTGGGCTTGGCGTGCCTAAATCCAATTTCAAAGGGGCTCCCTAATCTGGGTAATTTATTGCACAAACTTTATGATGTAATCTCTGGCCCCGGATCTGTTCTGTGCTGGAAAGTGTGAGGTGGATGTCGGCTCATCGGTTTATTTGCTCCATCCACTTTGTCTCCTGTGTTTCCTCGTTTGAGGTTGTCCATAAAATATGCAAGAGGACGTTTTGAACCAACACACCGGCCCTAAAGGGCTAAAAAAAAAAAAAAACAACAAAAATCCATTTTGTAGATTGTAATCTGGCAGTTTATTCGATCTTAAATCTCTAAAAAAACGTGTAAGCTGACTGTGTGCGTGTGTGTCCAGCATTTGCCTGCAGAAAAATATCACAAACATTTGGCATCAACTTAGAATAGTTTTGCCTTCAATTAGCTTATTCCTTTTTTTTAAAAAATCAACTCTTGAACATTGTGAACCTTCCTTTTTTTGGCTCGTTTCCTATAATAATTACAGAAAAAGCCTTCAGGCACCTGCCTCACAGTCAGTACATTCTTGTCCTGCTCATTGTCGACAATTGCACTATTAGTTGTCACACGTTGTCTTTTAACAGCGCATGTGTCCTCAGGATTTTTCTGTTCTTGTTTAAAACAACATTTATAAAAAAAAAAATTATAAATAATGATAATAATAATAAATTAACACAGATACATGCTTAAAACTTCCATCAGTCACACATGCAGCAGCAGCTGCAGGAACAGGAGCATTTTTCGGAAACGTTGCTTAATGCACAGACGCTAAGCTTAGCGTTTAGCTGCTGAATAAAAAGATCAGAGTCGGACGCTGACAGGCTGGGCAATTTGGAGGATCTAAATGCCGTCCTACCTGTTCTTGTACTTGAAGTTTGCTGAACCGTGCCCTCAGGCATTGACCTCAGATGTACAAGTTTAAGGCAAAGGAGGGACTGAAGCGTGAAGCTTTTTCACTTTTTTTTTCAGTTGTTTTTATTTTATTTTATTTTTGTCAATTCTGGAAAACGCTCGAAGCCAAAGAAAGAGAAATGTTCTGCAAAAGAGAAGGCGTGCACATTTCAGCGTCGACGGAGCAGATTTGATTCAGTAAGGGGTCCTCGAGCTGCAGCGAAGCGAAAGCGCAAGCGCGCCTTATCGTTCTGCAGCTGGTGGCAGCATTATGCTGCGGGTTGTTTGATGGGAGGGCCTGCAGACGACCACCTGAGGAGCGTGGGCGAAAACTAAACCGTGTCTTCCTAAAGAGAGCAATTTCAACCACCCTATGTGTGTGTGAAAAAAACTAAACAAAACATAAAAAACAAAGACACGTCAATTGTCTTCTTCGTCAACGCTTTTTCATCGTCGCCTGTCGGGACAGGTCACTGTGTTTGTGTGTGTGTGGGTTGGGTGTGTGTGTGTGTCTTGATGTGTGTCTTGAAGTTTCTGCCAGCATATGTCAGCCGCACGTCAGATTCAGGGAGAACGGCATGTAACCAAACGCAGCTTCGTGCTCCTCAGCCAGCGGCGGCCCATAGGGTCACACACTCTGTTTCTGAACACAGAAACCTGAATATCAGCATATTTCTGGACAGGCTTGTCAATGGAGGTCGGTGCCTGTGTGTGCATGCGTGTGCGTGTGTGTGTGGTTGGAAACTACACTCGCCCGGACACACATCTAGGGACACTCAAATGCACAGAATGTACAAGTATGCAACACAGACAAGAAGGAAACACACACACACACACACACACACACACACACACACCAATTCAGCATTTAGTGTGAGTCTGCACAAGTTACGCTCAGATTGCATGACCACATGCAAAGTGTGTGGCTTTACTGCCTAAAACAAATCACATGTAAGAAGCTGCTCTGCAAGAAGGCTCAATAAGCCAAAATTCAGCTTCCAGTTAATTATTTGTTTTGTGATCAGACTCAGAGGTCAAAGGTGTCGCGTTTGTGACAAACCGAGACCTGTGTCTTACAGCAGCTGTGACAAATTCCTATGAAAATCATGAACTGCACAGTTTTTTTTTTGTTTGTTTGGTTTGTTTTTATTTTACTGCTCAGACCCCCGTCCTTTCCAGACCCTCCTCCCGCCCCTCCACAATAATGTTTTGCAGCGTACCATCACCAGAGTGGGATCCGTCCCACGGAAACGCCTCATGATAACTGTTTACTCTCTGAATTGGCATGCCACTCGCGAAACAGTCAGTGTTTTCGTCTTTATCCGTGCCATATGTGCCGTCAAAATGACCTGGGGGGGGAGAGAAACCCACCGTATACGGATTCTCGCCCCCCCTCTGCCGCTCCCCGCTCACTCACTCCACCCCACAGCAAATATTCACACAAACATTGCGGTTGACGGGATGATAATCTCGCAGGAGACGGTCGGGGTGGCTGAGAAATTTACGATTTTTGTCTTTCTTTCAATAACTGAAACATTACAGAACGCATTCGGTGCGTTTTGCAATGTGGTGACACTTTTTTTTCTTTCCCTAATCAATTATACAAATTTGCCAAAATTTGATTTATGCTCCTCTAAGCGTCATACCTCATAGGTCATGAGGCAATTTCAGTGACAAGTCGCAGTCAGCAGCAGAGCTTTATTTTGCTCACACTCAGGCTGATAATCCAAGATTTACGATAAAGGAATGGGATTGCTACAGATTAAATGCTGATAAGATAATTAAACACACACTCACTCACACACACACACACACACACACACACACACACACACACACACACACACACACACACACACACACACACACACACACACACACACACACACAAAATAAGGCCTGCCCTTACACAATGCTGTTGCAGTGTTGCAGCTCTGCTTGGCAAATCATAGATGAGAAAAAAAATAATAAAAAAAGAGGATGGGCGAAGCGGGGCCCCATTCATCGTTTGAATTTTTGATTGCAACCATCTGCAATGTTGCTGGTGTCATTTGTTTTCAATGGCAGAGTGAATCTTACCCCCTCACCCTACACACACACTGTCTCTCCCCGGTGGGGTTTAGCTCCTGAGATTGAGTGTGTGTTTTTTAGCTGCGCGGTTAGAGAAACAGAGGCATGTTAAAACCTATTGAATTCAGTCGACTTGTCATCCAAGCGCCTTTGGCTTTAGGGTTGAGTTAGATTATTAGGAAATTTGACTAATAATCAGAAGTTTGTGTAGAAATGCTAAAAAAAAGTAAAAAATAAAAGTCAAGATCTAAACCCTGGCAAACGTTTAAACAATCGATGCTTCCTGTTGGAAGATTTTTATTATTTTTTTTTTTTGGAAATTCAAATTTGTTTCAGGCAAAAAACAAAAAAAAATTAAAAGGTTTCTTTAAAAAAAAATCACTCCTGATGTTAAGCATTAATTATTTAGAGAGTTTCAGGAGATCATAGGAATGGTAAGAGTCACAATCTGCTTCAGTCGTCTTCAACCAAATAATCGTAATGAAGTTCTGACAAAAGTTTGAAGATTTTATTATTTCACTATTAAGAGAAATCAAACTTGCTTTTTGAGAAAACTAGACCTTTATTAGATGTTTTGTTGCCTTTTTTTAATATCATAAATGGATTTGTTCTTTTTTTTTTTTTTACTGAAAGAGGCCCATTGTCTTCAGCAGCATTTCCCATCTGGTACACATTGTGCAGCAGCAGCAGCAGCAGCAGCAGCAGCAGTAGTAGACTGACTGACTGACTTTCCCCTCATCAAGCTGATAGGGGGTGCTCTAAGGCTGCCTGACTTAACCCACACTTGATAAGGCAGAGTAACAGGAGTGTCACCGGGGTGAAGATTCGGCTTCGTGTGAGCGAAGAAGAGCAAAGAAAAAAAAAAAACGAAGCAAAAAGAAAAGAAAGAGAGCGGACTAGAAAGACAAAAAAACAAAAACAAAGTATGTGTGGTATTGTTTTAGACAGCTGGCTTTCATTGCTATCACAACGCCTTCCCTTGCGATGGCATGTTTGACAGAGCGTCAGCTGTGCTCCTTTACCTATCAAGCATGTTCCTCTCTCATGCAGGGGGAATTAGACGCTGTCTGTCACCCTGATATGCCACATTAGTATCTTTTCCCCCCTCTCTCTTTTATATGTTTCCATTTCAACATTTTCCCAGATAGCTTTTTTTTTTTTTAGCCCCTCCTCTACACATTCCTTCTTTGTTTCCTTCTAGCATACACATTTCCCCTTTTTCTTCTTCTCCTCCCTCCCTCTCGCAGGTGAGCCTGAGGAAAGATGAGCGAGCGGGCGTGGCTTTGAGAAGGTGTCCGAGTTTCGTTCCAGTGGCATAGATTCAGTGCCAGCTCCTAGTAATTTACCGCCTTCTGCCCTCAGGCCGCATTGCTCAACCGTAGGTTTAGCAAAACAGGCCTCGTTAGGTTTGTCTCTCAAGTCGACAAGCGGGGGTTCGGTTTGCAGGGCTCCTGTCAGCTCATCCACTCGTTTTGTTGTCTCGTTTTTGCCCCCCCTGTCGCCACCTGTCCTGTTTGTCTCCTGGGCCTGCAGGGGCGGCCCAAACGTTGAGCCGGGCCCTGGGCAGAAATGGGTTTAAGAGCCCTCTTTTCGCGCCGTGCGTTTGGAAAAGTGTCTTAGGAATAACTGATGAGTCCTCTACATTCGACTGATCTGCAGTCACGTGTGTCGGTTTGCAAAATTTAGCAGGGAAGGAAGCCTTAAGAGAAGGTTTATTGAAATTGTAGAGATTTGGATCGGCTTCATTTCCTCCTGCCGTCGTATCTTGTGTTTATTGTTTCAGTGCAGGCTCAGTGGAACAGGGACGAGTGGCGAGGTTTGCATTTGTGGAAAATTCTCACTTATTCATTGAGATTTATTTGCAGGAGCAAGAGCAGCTGTGTTAAAATATGATGGGTCTGCTCCAAAAAGCCTCACTTTTTTTTTTTATAGGTCGAACAGCTTGTTGGCACTAATGAAACTTAAATTAATTCAGGTCAAAATTTAGCATTTTCTTCAACTTTTCTTCTATTTAAAAATCAGAATGAATTTTTAATGTTACCTTATTCTTAATCACTACAAGCAACACAAAAGTGGTGCATTTACAACATTTTGGGTTTTGAGGAACTCTCGGGGGCCCCCTGCTGCTTCGGCGGTCCTAAGCAGGGATTTGGGGGAGTAAGGGGGGCTTGTTTTGGCTCAGGCTTTGGGCCGGCTCAGTGTGAGGTTCTACTTGCACGGATGGTGCGCGTCGCCTTTACACGGCCCGAACGTCGCTCCGTCTGAATTACGGCTACAAGCTGTGAACTGTGGGTAGATGTGTGTTTGTTTTTCCTGCTTTGCCGTCAAAGAATATAAGATGGAAATTATTTGGCAGGAGTCCAGGAAGCCATCGCCATCTAGAGAAAGATATTTGGCATTGGTCCATGCTGGGAGCGACTGGAGATGACTAGAATGTGCCGATGCAGGTGTGTGTGTGTTTACGTGGGTGGATGGGTGATTGGGCCCAGAGAGGAGGAGGAGGAGTTATTTATCCGAACAGAAATAAGGGAAATGATGAAATTGGATTTTAATAAAGATCAGAGGTTAACAGAGACGATTGGGAAGTTTAGAGAAACGTTTTGAGTTGAGCAATAAGGACGATAGCTACGCACACATTCTTTACTATTTTCTCTCTTTTCTTTTTTTTTTCAATGTCTTGTATGGTGGCGTGGATCCGGTCGCCCTCCGGCGTCACGTTAGATTCGTGTGGCTGTGTGTCACCGAATGGCCGGAGACCAAGTTTTTGATTCGAGGAACAAAGCAAATGGGGCGCAGCAATTAAAAGAGGACAAAGATGGTGACTGGAGCATCAACAACAGTCACGACAGCGGAAGAAACAGCTGCTGATCATTTCTCCCCTTTCCCAGCTCAGAACTTTGTCATTTTGTCACCTGATGCTTTTCAGGTCCAAAAACAGCCACCTGCCACTGTTCATATATACTCAACGTCCGCTTGCTGTTTTGCTTTGACAACGGATAATTTAAAGTCATTTTCTATCTTTTGCATGTACAATGAGCTATAGAAAATGTAGTTATGAAGCTCTGACAAATGCTACCCATTAGCAGAAAGCCTTTCGGTGTTTGTGATGTAATCTGTCACATGTCAACTAACCCACACAGGGAGCAGAGCCAAACAAAATGGCGGCGTTTTTCGAAAATACTTCAATTCTTTACTTCAGGGAAAACTACGGGTTTTACCCAGATGTTGCAGTTTCATCCATTCCTACTTCCATTTTGTAAGCTCAAACAAACCATTTCCTACCCTCATCTAGAACTCGGTGTCCTTAAACCGCTTTCTATTTCTTCTTGCTACATTTTTTAAGCGTTTTCATGAATTAAACAACTAAATAGCCACAAAACAGTTCAAAATGCTCGGATTTCCATTTAAATGCCCAATTCTCCAAATTTAATACAAGAATAATTGTAAGGCTTTTAAAAAAAATTACTCTTTTCTTTTTCTTTCCTTTTTTAAAAATGTATATTGTGCCCCACAGGGTGATACTTTGTTTTTTTCGTTATTCTACTTTTCTGTGTGACTGAAAACAAATCTTATCTTTGAACAGGAAGTTGCTCAGAGTTCTTTCGGTTTGATCGGGGGTCATAATCTGTCAGATGGAGATTAGATAAGAGCAACCTGACCCAAATTCATATAGAGTAAAAAAAAAAAAACCAAAAAAAGCAACTCAACATAGAGAAAATACATTTAGAAAGCGATATAACGTCCAAGTGAACACAAGATTTTTACAATCTCTGTAAGTCACAAAACCTAAATTAATCCATCATTGTTTAAGAGGAAAACAAAATGGTTTGTTTACAGGTCTGAAATGGAAGTAGGAAGAAGCTGAATGGCAATTCTTTATCATTTTGCCATACACAAATTCTTAAAATCACTGGACATCTGTTGCATTTTCAGTCTCTTGTATTTTCTCTGCTGTGTCGTTTCGGGCCTTCAAAACTTTGAGCATTTCGTACACGACTTCCAGGCTATACCAGCCATGCCTCATTTTGACTACAGTTAAAGTAATATTCTATTGTCATATAAATACATAGCTCAGATAAATAACAAGGTTCCCCCAGAGTTAATTTGGGTTGATCAGGAGCAAACGGAAAATCGCCTTAATGCAAAGTTTTTTGAGAGTAATAACTGCTAACTTTAATTAAATTGTATTATTACATGAGCTAAGACGCAGTTTAAGTATATAAATGTGAAATGGTTTGTATGAACCGGACGTACAAGGGGAAAATGGCAACTTATGCGCAAGACGTTTTGGCGGCAATTTGGCACAAACTGGAATCCAAAAACGAACAAAAAAGCGAGGCAAAAAGAAGACAGTTAAAAGTAAAAAGAAAAAAAAAAGTGCTCTAATTTTTCGCCAATCACTCACTGGGGTGTCATTTGGAGAAGGAGAGAAAGGGAGAGACAAAAGAGAAGGAGATGGATTGCTCTCTCTCTCTTCCTCTCTCTCTCTCTCTCCCCCAGGCACCAAAGCGTCTCCCTCCCTGATCGCCCGCTCGCTCGCCCGCCCAGACATCCCTCACCGTCTCTGGAGCTTCAGGTTTCCTCTGGGCTCCCAAGAAGAGGACACATTTTCATGGTAGTACATCAGAGTAGTGTGGAGAAAAGGAAAAAAAAAAAAGGAAAAGTGGAAGTTGTCCATGAGGGATTTGCGTTAAGCTGAGGGACGGTGTCTGTGCCATAGGGGCAGCGGGGCAGCGGGAGGAGGCAGAGAAGAACGCTGTAATGGTTATTAATGACCGTGTCAGATCTGTGAAGAATGAGATTTACTCTCCTAACAGGACCCCGGGTTTGGCTTATGGATTTTCAGTCTGTTGAGAATACAGTTTAAACTCACCTGAGTCTTGATCCATTCATGCACACATAAAACTGTTTTTTTTTCTACCTCCCCCTCCTCATGTTTCCCACTCTTAAGACACAGACACACACACACACACGCACACACACACACAAACAGAGGCTTGTGGATGTGGCCTTGGTTATGCTACGCACTTTGTCGAGCAGAAGCCGAGGCTCCCACGTGGTTGAAGGCAACCATCTTCGCTGTGACAGCTCGGCGCGGCGAAGGGCCCTCACCGGAAACCAAGCCTGCGCCGTTGAGATGAATCGCTTCCTGGCCGCACAAACACAAAACACAAGCGGAGAGAGCGCGCGCACACACTCGCAGACGTACACCGACATGTAGAGTAAAGTGTTTTTGGTCCCACCTACGCAGATCTCTCTCAGAGATAAGCGGCGCAGGTGTTTATCGTGGCAAAGTAGTCTTAACAGCGTTCTGCTGTTTCAAGCCCCCGAACGTGACACAGTTTTTTTTTTTTTAATGTAACGACCACCCTGTGTGGTACAGAGGGATGGTTGTTATCTTGTATTGGTTTCAGGACTGAACCTTGCTGAGTTTTTTTTTTTCCTCAGTTTTTTTTTCTGAGAATGTTTTTCTCACTGACTGAACGTCTTTTTTCTTCTTTTTTTTTTTTTAATTGTTTTCTGCGTCTCTTTTTTCACAGCGGAGGTCAACCATGACTCAGGCGCTCGATCTCCCTCTCCGGAGCCGTCCACCCCGAGTCCTCGGAGGATGGGGCCCGGGGAGCACGATCTCTTGACCTGCGGCCAGTGTCAGACCAACTTCCCCCTCGGCGACATCCTCGTTTTCATCGAGCACAAGCGGCGGCTGTGCAGGGGGCCCGGCGGCGGCGGGCCCGGCGCCTTCTCCAAGCCCGGCGAGGCCGGCGGGATCATGGGCATTTCCGTCTCGCCCCGGGCCCGCTCCCTGGAGCTCGGCAGAGGAGGTTCGCTTCCGGTGGAGGTGGGCGTCCAGGTGACCCCCGGAGGGGAGGAAGACGAGCACAGGAGGCTGACCCCAGCCAAAGGAATCTGCCCCAAACAGGAGAAAGGAGGTATGGAGTATTAAATGCACAGGTGACACAAACTGCTCCCAAAACACACAGCTCTCTCTTGAAAGAAAGCTTTTATTTTGACAGTGGCATTCAGGAGGGATTAATGTAGCTTGAGATAATTTTCATTAGAGTGCCTCAGAGCTGCAGAGTTGTGTCTGTTTCATTGTAAGGAGGATGTTACCCACACAGCGCCCTCTACAGCCAAGTGTCTGCAGTGAGTGTGTATGCTTGTAGTGAGTACTTTTAGCATCATTGGTATAGATGTACAAAAAGCTTTGAAATCATTTCATCTTGATGCTGCAGTAGCATAATCTCACACTAGAAATAATAATAATAATTTACAAAGAAAACAAGCCATTAATTTCAGTATGTTTGTTCAGAGGGGAATAAACTGAAGTGAACTAAAGACAGTTTTGGTAACCCGTGTTGTCATTTTTGCTAATAGGACGGGTGGGTTTTTTTTACGTTTCACAACTTTGGGAGCACACAGATTGATGAGTTTTTTACCGTTCCTCTTCTTAGCTCACTCCTCAGATTGATTTTTTTCTTAAATTTGATTTAGGTCAAATTCAAACGAGACATTTGTGGCGAATCGCTTCGTTACCCTGCTGCAAAGACCCAGTGATGATCCGTTCTTTGCTTTCTAGTGCTGTCAATTGCTTTGTTTTTGTTCCCCATATGTTAGTGTTTTAAAAAGTTCACAGTGCCATTCTAACAAAATCTCCAGGGTTGCTTAATGAGAAAAACGTCCCACCGCATCACAGATCCTCCTCCCTACTTAACAGTTGCTTCTCTAGATATTTACTGTTTGTTTCACACCAAACCTTAAGGATTTCTTATCCTAAAGGTCAAGTTTAGTTTTACCACATGTTTACATTTGTGATAGTAGGGCTGGAAAGCTTTTTTTGTTGTTGTTAGGATCATTTCCCAACAACTTATTGGCGTGTAAATAAGGTGTAATGGTTGCTTTGGAAACTTTGTGAACTTTGATTGGCACTAACTGAAGATTTTTGGTGTTTGGTGTATTTTTATTATTTTTTGTTTATTTTTCCATCCTGCACACTGGATGTTGTAGATAAACATTGGTCCATGTCAAACCTGCAGAAACAGGCCTCTGTGTCACATCATTGACAAAAGGTCTTAATTTCTAATTAGAAGCTGGAGAAGTAAAGTGAAATTGAAAAATATATTTTGCAGACATAATGATATAGTGCTATATGTATCTAACTAAGGGTGATGTTTAAAAAAAGGATCAGTGTGAGATTATTCTACTGCAATAATTTTTCACATCTTCACCAGAAATGTCAAAAAATGTGTGCAAGTATGCACTTATTTTAGGTTACACACACACACACACACACACACACACACACACACACACACACACACACACACACACACACACACACCAACATGCCGTTCTTGAAGTCGAAACTCCTTCTAAAATGGGAGAAAACGATGACACAACCAGACCAGCGTGGTTTATTTCTTCCTTTTTTGTTTTGTTTTCGCGAGAGCACGTCACTCATCGGAGCGTTTGACAAAAAGAAAAAATAAATCCAGCAGCATTATATGCAGAAGTTAAAGATTAAACTCAGTCTGTGTGTGCCTGGGTGGGGGTGAGGAGAAACGGATTAATAAAGCTGCAGGGCCGTTCGGTTGGGCTGTTGGGGGGGGGGAAGGGAAAACAGCTGGAGGGTCTGGGTGGGGAGGGCGGGTGAAAAAAAACCAACAAAAAAACAGAGGGTGTGTGGAAGAATGGTTGCGCCTGCCGACTGCCGGTGCTGTGGAGAAACCAATGCAGAGTTTATCAGAGGAGACAGTCACCATCGCACCCAAAGGGCTGCGAAGGCTGTCCAGGATTACACAAGGCTTCGGCAGACTAAGATGTTTCCAGACGGAATTTCACGCACGATTAAACGGCTAACGCAGAAACCGGTCACCGCTGTGTTCCACTGTTGTGTCATGGTCAGATTCGAGTGGTTAAAGGGAAGCTTTCATGGCTCGTTCTCTGACTAAAGTAGCTCTGTTCAGCTTTTTTTTGCTGTTGCAGACTTCACGCTCCGGCAGTTCCTACTGATGTAGTTGCGATGATGGTGGCTAAAGTGAAAGTCTGTATGAGAATCTCTTCATTTCAGTACCGCAGGACGGTTGCTTGAAAATTGTCTTATGTAACACAATCTAAATAGTTTTACTGTAAAAATGTTCAAAAGGTCACGACGACTCCAACTGCAGCTAAAGTGTTAATGTTTTCTTTTAAAAAAAATATCCTGATGCAAAGATGAATGCAAAAATAGAATAAAACTGTGAAGTTAAAGTGGATGGTGGTGCTTCTTGTATAAAACAGAGCCAGCCCAAGGCATAATTGAACAAAGCAGCTGATTCAGACCTCTGAACCACAATGTCGCTCAGAGCAATGGACCTGTCACAGAAATCATGTTTGGAAATTTTGTTTTTATTATTTTTTTTCCCATACCAGTGATCCCTCTTCAGTGGTAATAAAGCGAAACGAAGCTTTTGGTTCTAGACAGGCTAAAGCCTTGATGTAAATCAGCGTAGTCAGACTTTTTGCTAAGAACAGTGTTTTGCTGCAGAGTGTATTTAATCACTTAAAAGGCAGAATTAAGGACTGACTACATAAAATGATCTGCACTGATTTTTCTGTGAGGCCAAAACTGACATCAGGATCAATTCTGATCATTTTCTACTCATCCACTCTGGGAGCAACAAGGTCATTTTTTGAAGAACTAAAACATTTTTCTGAACTTGTGCACCAAGTGCTGTTAGTTCATGTTAATTTAGTAAACATGTTTAGATATTGTGCGTCACTTTCTATCTTTTTTCTGTAAACGGATTGTATTTCATAAACATTTGAACCTGGGCAAAATAAATAGAATATCAGTTGTGCTTTGGTGACGGTAGCTTATTGAGTTAACGTTAGTTGTTTAATTATGCTGCCTGCTAACTGAACATTTAATATTCTCTATTCAGCCAGCTGACTGGCAATGCCCAGACTCGTTTGTCTTTCTTGTAGGTGAGGTCAAAGTTTAATTTATTTTATTTGACCTTCGTTTATATACATGTTGTCTTATTGAGATTCAATGACTCATTTACAAGAGAAACCTGTGTTGATAAAATAAATAAAAACAGTACAAACATAGTCAACAGTACAAGAAATTTGACTAAATTAAATAAGCTCATAAAACTGGAGCTAAAAACAAGAGCAGGTTTCATAAGACGATTCTTCTTTTTGTCTTAAAAGGACCAAATGAGTCCAAGTGGAAACTTCAGATGTTCCACACTTCTTTCAGCCAGCTGGCTGGCAGGTTGCAGCTGGATTTCTATATATATGTATATATATATATTTTGTGAGTGGAGTAATAAAATGTAGTAGTGCTCTTTGAGGCTCCTGAGAGGCAGTGCGCAGCAACAGGTAGTCTTGAGATAGTTACTTCAGCACTTTCTCTGGCATTTTACTGGACGGGCTTTTAACTACTGGAGCAAAACAAAAGCGCTTATTAGCCGGCGTTGAATCACTGCTGTCATTACTTGAAACAACACATTCGCCTCTATGGTTGTGCCTGTTCATAAATAGCTTTTTCTTTAACATAAAACACCCAAGGAGGATATTGCTTCTCGTGCATTAGCGAAACATTTCAGAGAGTTCTTTGGGCTCCGTGCGGCTTAAAATGCAAGCCGAACGACTTTGAGACGAACAAGGAAGCTGGGGAGAAAACACTTCAGTTTCTGTTTCAGATTTCCAGCAGACCAAACTGGCTTTTTGGGTATTTCAAAATGCCTTACGGCCAATTCAGATCTGAACAATTTGTTTATTTTCGAGCCAAACTCAGTAGAGACCCCCTGTTTGTTGTCTGTGCTGCTATCCCGTACATATGCGCGGCGTCTGTGTGTGGCCGGCAGCTGTGTGTGGCCATCGTCAGTCACTTTGGGAAGTATCTGTAAAAGGAGATCAGAGAAAATATGTGACAGCGAAGGTTTGGTCGTCGCTGTCGATTTGCGAGAATGAAAGCGACGCTCAAAAAAAAAAAAGAAAGAAAAAAAAACAAAAGAAGTTCTCAAGATTTTCCCTCAGCAGATAATAAAAATATCTGACCGCCGCTCAGTAACAATGTGGCTTTTGTTAATCGTCTCTATTTTTGGGAGGGGAGGGTGGATAGAATTTGATTTGGGAAACTTGAAGAGCTTTCAGCAGTTCTGGGAACAAACAAAGACAGGGAGGGGGGAGAGAAAAAAAAATAGCCAATCAATCATTTTACATTCAATTTTGCCTTTGCAGGACAGTCAGAGGAGGACAAAAAAAAAAAAAGAAAAACAGGCAGCGTTATAGACTGAGTCAGCCTGAAAGAGCTGCAGCCAGTTAGTCATTCAGACAGAAAGTCTTATCACTAAGAGAACAGGACATGAAAGCACTCCAAGGCCCCCAAATGAAAGCAAGGAGGGGAGCTTTGTTCAACACATTAGATTGCCACTCAAGTCTGTCTCAAGTTTCAAGCAAATTAGATTACATTATTAGGACTAATTAAGTCCAAAGTGTTAGAGGCACTCACTCGCACACGCTAGCACATCTCCGCGCGCACAGCCTTCCCCTATAAGGAAATATCATAATTTGACTGCATGCGAGCTTCGAGGCACGCCGGGCAGATCCGACCTGCAGAGCAAGCGGAGGAAGCAGGGAGGTGCACTGAAAAAAGGGAGGCGAACTCTGCACGCTAATAACGAACGACGCGCTTGTGTAGCATGCAGCGCATATGCTTAACCCCTCTCCTCTTCACCTGGTTGTGTTTTATAACATCCTGTCTGGCCTCTTTGTCTGTCAGCCCTGCTCGCCTGAACTGCAAAAACATGCTGCAAGGCCAGCAGATTCAACCCCAAAAGGTGCAAAACGCACCCGCACAAACACACACACACACACACACTTACATGTGTATGCTTTCTTTTTTTTTCTTACACGGTTTGTACAGTAGATGAAAAATGGCCTT